TCCAATCTATCATACCCGCGAAGGCCACGCGCCGCACTTGGCGACAGTGACTAGTAGAGAGGCATATAGGAGTGCAGTCAACGGTGCCCCGGTGGGGAGCAAGGGCCCGTTGGGCAAATTGCTGGTTCGGGGGGAAAGAGGGCATGATATCATCTCTGAGCTGACGCCACTGCCAAATGAGCCTGTCGTGGATAAGCCGGGGAGAGGGGCGTTTGCAAATACAGAGTTGGAGGCTTCGTTAAGGGCGAAGGGGGTTAAGAATCTGGTTGTTTGTGGGGTTACAGCGGATGCGTGTGTGAGTAGCACGGTTAGAGAGGCGAGTGATCGCGGGTTTGATGTGCTTGTCGTGGAGGATGGGGTTGAGAGTGTGAGTGATGAACTGAAAAAGTGGAGCTTGGAGAGTATAAGAGTCGAAGGGGGTTTATTTGGGGTTACTGGAGACTGCAAGGCAGTGAAGGAAGCAGTGGAGAGCTGGATGGGAAGTGGTAGTGAGAATCAGACGAAAAGCAATGGTGAAGAAGGCAACAACTCGCGGTGGTATTACGAGCAGTTGCGCCAGCAATGAACGAAGAAAAGGCGTCACAGAGCAATAGAAGCAAGGTCATGAGCATCGAAGTATATGCATTGACGACTATGACGGTCAATTGAAGACTCATTGTCTTACTTTGTGATATAATAACCCGAACCATCCATAATCAGAACGCCGTGAAGACCGATAGCCGTATCCCAAATCATATCCATGAAGAATGTGTCGTGACCATCTGAACCACCCTTGACCGAGTGATTGAGGCAGGCCGGAGAAGGATAGAGAAGAGCCGTGAAGAGAAGATGACGCGCTTAGCCACCGAAGCCGTAGAGGGTACGGCCCTGGCGCTTGAGGGCATAGACAACGTCGAGAGAGGTGACGGTCTTGCGCTTGGCGTGCTCAGTGTAGGTGACGGCATCGCGGATGACGCTCTCGAGGAAAGTCTTGAGGACACCACGGGTCTCTTCGTAGATCACTGGGATGATGTTAATACTGGTCGACAGCGCGGCTGTGGGGTGAAGTTGACTTACTGGCAGAAATACGCTTGACACCGCCACGACGAGCAAGACGACGGATGGCGGGCTTGGTGATACCCTGGATGTTGTCACGAAGAATCTTGCGATGGCGCTTGGCACCACCCTTGCCGAGGCCCTTGCCACCTTTGCCGCCTAGGGAGAGACGTTAGCATCGTGTGTTAGGGTTGTGAAGAGGCATGATGCAGTCGCGACGTGGTGGTGCGACGCGCATGCGGCGAAGAAGCGTCGCGATATGGGCTGCAGGGCGAAGGCGATGGTGGGGCGACGCGTTGAGGCTCAACACCAAGCGCGGAGCCCGTGATCGTGCAGTGGCGCGACAGCAACAACCGCGACAACATCATCAAAGTCGATGCACCCTGCAGCCACATATGCAAAACAGAAAAGAGTACTTACGTCCAGTCATGTTGCTAGAGTGTTAGTGTTGATGGATTAAGTTGATAATGTGGTTGAGACGCGGATGGGTTGCAGCAGGCGTGCAGCGAGACCGAGATGAAGAGATAAAGCTGGGGGAGGAAAAGGGAAAGCAGAAAAGCAGTAAAAGAGCGGGCGCGCTGGATAATAAATAGGCGGCACGGGCGCAGCGGCTGCCTCAGATCACACCAGGGGCGCTAGGCTGGGTTGGGCGACAGCAGGAACATGAGAATCAGTCAGTAGGCGTCGCCCCCCAAGAAGTGTGGAAAATCAAACGTTTGGAAAGCAGCACTTCGAAGGCCGTTGTCCTTTGCTGGCGTCCGCGCTCCGGGCGGGCTTGCCTGTTGCTCGAGACAGGGGTCCGTGGTCCGTGCGCTGGAACATCAACTCTGCCTCTGTCTGCATCCAGAACGCCATCACCAAAATGTCTCTCAACTCTCCCTGTGGCTGTCGAATTCTCCTGCAAACTACCTAGTATTTGTCAGAGTGTGTTTCAGCATCGTTTTGTCGCCTCAGATTTGCTGTTCAATCTGCCTAGCGCTTCTATTCGCGTCTAGTATCATCTTCCGACGCGTCGTCTCTCACCTCGAACAAATGCCTGCCTCACCACATACAGCTCGCATAGGCCGCAGGACAGTCGAGATGAGATACAGCAATGGCCAAAGTATATTTAAATAAACTAAAATGGAGAAAAAGAAGCATCTGCGATATACTGTTCTCTATATTTTCTCTAATCTCTCAAGCCAACGTCCCTAGTGCTCCTCTCTACTTCAAGGATGAGACTTCCTCAGCACAAAATTCTATGGCATCTGCCTTTAATTTCATTGCCACCTCTTGTAGAGATGACATTATTTGCGAGGCCCATGTGCCAGTAGCATCTAACGGACGATTTGAGACCATCTGATGTAAAATCCCCTAAGCCTTCCGTGCCAAAAGTACAGTTGCTGCCGAGAAAGTGGCACCAGCAGGCAGTGACTCATACTTATGCACTGCTTCTGAACGAAGGGTGCCTAGGACAGTGCAAGCAATCACATCTCACGACCACCATCAAGGCAAGCTTACGTGTCGGCACTACAAATGAAATCATTTCGCATGCTATCAATCAACGCCGGTTAAGGACTGTGGTGGAAGGTGCAACTCCCATCTAACCTAGAAACACAAATCCTACTTCGACCAACATCTACTATTCGGCCTACCCTCGTTTGAATCGTCACGCTTGAAACTTCATTTGGCCTCCTCGTTGACTTCCTTTGTGGAGGCCTCCTCGTACACAGGTGGGGAATCGTAAGCGGGCAATTCGGCATATTCCTCTTTTTCGTTATCACCGTCCAGTGGCTCAACGTCCTCTTCCTCCTCCAATGCAATCGGCTGATAGCTTTGGCCTCGGAATCTGGCAATAGTGATAGCAACCAGGCAACCGACCGCCATCCCAATAAGGTAGGTAAGGGTACCAGCGAAGATGCCAATGAGGATAGGAATGAGGATCGTGAAGAATGCGCGTCGGAGGAACATGTGGAACCGGTGTCCGCCGTGGTGGCGATGTCCCTCATGACCCATATGGTGGGGTCGATGATGAGGATGGTGGTGAGGCTTACCAGGGTGGAACCTGTGGGGTGGTTTGCCCTCGGTAGTCTCCTCCTCCATGGGATTCGGGCGTCCATGTCCGTGAGGGCGCCCATGGCAGCCCTTGCCTTTGCCCATCTTCTTCATCTTCTCGATCCTATCGGCCAGAATGCTCTTCCATTTACAGAACAAAGGCCACTCCTTGCACTCCTTCTCTTGGTCCGCCGGAGTAGCTTCGATAGCCGGAATAGCCTGAAACGAAGCGATCATGAGACGACCTTCTGCATCCTTGAGGAGGTTGATGGTGAGCTCTGGAGGATTGACAGCGTTGCCCTCAACAGATGTGATCTGGAATGACATTGGGAGAAGCTCCATGCCCGCTTCTGATACAGTCTCGGCTCCATTATAACGGAATTGATAGCCTGTGACGCGGAGGCGGAGACCAGCTTCGGAGGCAGGCTCAACTTGAGTAACGTGGAAGGGCTTATCGAAGTAGCTGAACGAGGGTGGGTAAAGTTGAACCCCGTCAATAGTAAGTGTATCTTCACGAGGACCGACTTCGAAATCGAGCATCTGTTAAAGTCAGTAAGAGTTCTCGATTGTCTCTATACGAGTACATGTCTTCTGCGCAACCCGAAACAGGGACAAGGCTATGTTGGGATGATCACGTACAAAGGAGTTTCCAACGTTTGACTCCCACTTCAGCGACTGCCCTTCCAGGGTCGCGAAATCGCATCCAGGGCACTCAAGGGAAACAGTTCGCTTGAACGGATCGATCGCAAGTGTTTCCATGGCATTGTCATCGCCGAGCTCATCCGCGCTGATTGTGGAAGGTATGAGGACGGCGCTGGCGGCCAGCGCCAAGTTCGCAAAGACGCCCAACTTGCTGGGGGACATCGTAGGTGTGCTGAAAGAAAAGGGAAAGGGAGGTAGGTACAGGGGCAAAAGGTGTTGTCGAGAAACGAGGCGTGAGGAGATCCGGAAACAAAGGTCGTGCTCACGTCTGGCGCATCGCCGCCGCGTCATCTATCACGTGATGCACGGAGTCCATGTTCAGCTGTCAATGTGGCACATCGTGAAACACTTGGTGAAGCAGAACAGTGGATGGCCAATAGAATGGTGAATACTTCACCCCGAAATTCTATCAATCCGAAAACAGATCGTGTGCATCCGCCAACTTAGGGTGTTGCTGTGGCCGATGGCAATCGCGACGATGTCTTCAAAGGCGCCCACGTGCCGCCATCCCTTCAGATTCGGAGGCTAACCGCATTTGTGACCTGAGCTATGTTTAGCATTGGACCATCGTCGTGGAGCAAACTTTCCCTGCGTTGACACGACTGCACATACAAGATGTGTAATCCAACATATCCAGGTACTCAACATATCTGTGTCCTTTCTGGTTCTGTGCAGACTTTTCCGTGGTTATCTATATCTTCACTGTGTTTAGAGGTACTATTATGAGTAATTCCGATGGCAGCTCTAGAGCCGAGACGGTCCAGGAAGATTCAGGATTAGCCATTGATTAATCGTGGACAGAAGGAAGATAGAAAGTGTGCAGGCAGAAATCGTCATTAGTGATTGTGGGAAGTGTAGAGGCGGTCGAGAGAAATTCACCGCCTCTAGACTGGGGAGAGGACTGAGAAATTCTTTGAAGATATTTTCAATCATCATTATCATCTAGTGACTTCCTAAATCCCTCGATAGGTGAGCATACCTAATCGTGGCAGTCCAGTCTCAGGTCTCGTGGTGATCCATACCAAGGTAGGCATTTTGCGCCAGCACTCTGCCGCCAGCCAGAAAAGCCATTCGAGCAGAACAAAACCCTGCTTTATTACCTAATCAGTCTGCTAAAAAACGTACCCCACATTGTCTTCTCGCCCTCTCCTCCATCCCCACTGTTACCGCAAACGCAACACTAAAAAAAATCAACCCAAAAGTTTTTGAAAAAATAAAAAAGATAGAAGCTCTCCGACGGGGAATCGAACCCCGGTCTCCCGCGCTTGTAAGCTGTACAGCTCTGACAAGCGGAAATCATGACCACTAGACCATCGAAGATAGGCGCTCTGAAGCGGATGGGTTTGGTTGATGAAAAATCTCGCTCTTAAATGATAATTATACGCAACAATTCACCTCTCAAACGCGAAGCTGTACACAGTTCTCCGTAAATGTGCAATTTTCGATTGTGGGTCTACTGGCAGGCGAGGGTGGGCCAAGGAGGGTCTACATTGACGCCCTGACTGCGGGGCGGTATGGGCGCTTTCGGGCTGGTTTATTCACGTTTGCATAATTAGTAGGTCACGTCTGGAAAGGGAAAGACAAGATATGAGACTATGTGTTTATTGGGAGTGTGGTTGGGAATATCAGCGAATGAGGTGTCTAGACTTGCTTATGCAGCAGAGATAGCATTATCGAGCACAATGGTGTGATCGTATCTTGCTGGTCAGGGGAACAAGGTCAAGATGGAAAGGGTTACAACTTTCATTCTCTCATTATCGCATTTATTCTTCGTGGGACTTCGCCTATTATCCGCAGAACTCAACCCGCACAAGCTTTCCGCACTCAAAAGCTTAACATTGACAACTTCCTTAAGCGAAACTCTGATCCATGTCGATTACACCACGCTTGTAAATCGTCCCGTTCCCAGTGAAATTTCCACTCTGCGTCACGAAATTTTCCGTGCTGCTGAAATCTTCCACATGGCCGAGCAGGATTTCCAACATCCTGAGCGCAACTCCAGGAGTGTAGCCCGGCAGCTCGTGGCCCGCCAAGCGCGCAGTGTAGAATAGTAATCCGCGCTCTTGTGACCACACGCCTTGGAAACCAGCGCCAGCTAGAGCACCGAGATTGTACTCTGGATGATAGGGTGCATATAATGGTGTAGCGGGGTATTCTTGCAGACCCTGTGCGCCGTTCCAAGTCATGTTTTGGATAGCGAAGAGCGTCCCGTTTGTGCTTAGGAGCATGTCGAGGTCGCCGGAACCGATAATGGTGTTATTCGTGTACTCGATAACGCGTTGGAGCACGCCGTTATTAGCGGGGCCGACGGAAGCATCTTGTGCATTGCTGCTGGCATTGCCGTTGCCGAAGACATTGATGTTGGTGCACTGGAGCCAGTTGCTGTTGACGTCGGCGTGCAAGGCCACCTTGACATCAGTGCGATTGAAGTATATTTCTGCGCCGGGAGGGGAGTAGTCTCCTGTGTTGACTATACCGAGCTGCGAGTATGGGTGCGGGCAGGTCTCGGAGATGTGGTAGATGTTGAAGCATGGGTTGACTTCGAGGATGGCACTGTAAAAGTTGTCGAACTGATCGCATGTATAGTTGTCTGTGGAGAAAGGATCAGGCAGCACGGGGAAGGGTCCCTTAGGTGGAGGGAATGTGAAGTACTTCTCATAGTACTCAGAGTAGCCACAGTCCTTCTGATGCTGACGAATCGTCTCCATGAAGGAGTCGTTCAGGTACAAGAAATTCTGCCAAAACTCAACATAGGGAAGGATGACGACTTGCTGCTGAATCGTTTCATCTCCAATGATGGGATCATTGATGGAAATGCCAGCCAAGTTGAAGTACTTGTTGTCGTTGGCTTGGATGAACCCGTCCGCAATGTATGGGACGTAGTAACCAGCGTAGGACTCTCCAGTGACGTAAGTCTTCCAGTGATACAGCTCAAAGAGATCAACGAAGCTCTTATAAAAGCCGCGGAACTCGGCCGCAAGTTCAACTTCATCTGTGATATTGGGTGTTCCCTGAGAATAACCCACGCCAACAGGTTGTTCGACCCAAAGTACATTGGTGAGGTTGTTCCAGCTGTAGGGATTTTGGACGGGAGCAAGGGTGCCTGATTCCCAAGTGAAAGGGCCGTTTTCTGTCAAGAACCCACTGAGTGAACTGCAGCCGGGTCCACCATTGAGCCTAGAGAATTGTTAGCGACGATTGATCATGCTTGCTACTCTTGCAGACTTACCAGATTACGACCTCCTCGGGTGTAGTTGACAATGTTGATGGGAAGAACCAAAAGAACAATTTGCGAGTCTCATCTGGGCTGTCTGAGATGGGCAATAGACCGGCGTATGACTCGCCAATGTCAAACGGCACTTCTGGAATTCCGGTGCCATTGACAGCGAATGCTGGTGGTTCTTAGTGAGTAATCATCCTTGAAAAACCTTAATTATTGCGTACGTTTAGACTTGTCAGTCAGAAAGCTGGAAGCCCGCTTTTGAAGTTCTGGGTGCCTGAAAGGCTCACTCGCGACGCGCTTTTCGAGCACAGGCTTCACCTTGTTGAAGACATTGAGCTTGTGAGGTGAATTGCCAGCCAAAGCCGACGATGCGCAAATCAGCGTACCAAAAATTGTAGAGAGCTTCATCACGTCTGTAAGACACTCAAAAGTAGCTGCTAGAGAAGCCGAATAAATTGGCTCATCGCGGGCTATTTGAACATTTCCAAAGTGACGCCATTCATCACTGCCCCGAGTATTACTCTTACCCGGAGTAGAAGGAGATTAATAGTATGCTCCCAGAACCTGGTAATATCTCGCGCAATGATGGCGCCAACAAGGTGCTTGACCACTCCATTGGGGATTGTACGAAGGTGCTGTGGATGCAATGTAATATGACGCGTGCAGCAACAAAATCTCTATGTACCTTCCTGAAACGCTCTCGATATTGCCTATCGGACTGCATATACCCTGCGGAAGGCCTGGCATCTCGCATATGTGATTCGTGGAGCTGACTAGGTCGTGAACCGGCCCGGGGGTGTGATTGATTAAGCATTAGATCCGTTGCTTGTCGTTGCTTGGTTGAGCCGCCGGGGGGAACTAACAGGGTACTCTACGTGAGGTCGCTATCAGTCGCCGCGCACCATTTGTTAGCACGCGACATTTCTGCAAAGCATTAGAGAGGTGTGTCGTAGGCTCGTGGCAATGCAGCGGTTGCATGGTCACTCCATGTCGCTGTGTGGGCGGAATCATGCCGAGGTACCCAAGTATGAAGGAACATCGACTGTCGATTGTCGTAAAGACATTCAATCCGGCGAACCATTCGGCCTCTAGTGAGATTGCAAGAATAATAATTTAGATATGATCAACCAATACGAGTACAAGTTGTGGTATTTGCTCACGTGACACTTATTAGCTTCTTCGATACCTTCCATTGTAGAGCTGAGATCGATACCTCGATTGTGATGCGAACGATGGATGCGAACGATGGAAGCGCACATGGCTCAGACTTTGCACAAGGGTTGTATGTTGTCACTGCGGAGGGAATTCCTGCAAATCCTTGTCCCATTCACCTTAGCTCAAAGGATAGGGACGCCTGACACCTGCAGTTCGCCTTGCCGGCTAACCGTTGTGGCGCTTGGCCCACGGTTTTGCCCAAAGAAGGCTGAAAGCGACAGATGCGATGGGTGCACTTCCTGTGGCTTGCTGACGCGGCCGCACAGCCTCAGCTATCATCCCACTTCAACTCGCACTCCCTTCTGCCTTCAGGCTCACCGGTCTTCAACCTGCGAGCCATAATAACTTAACGGTCCACCTTTTAATTCGTAGCTAAATCATCAAAGTCCATATTCCATACTGTACACCATGGGTTACCCAACAACACCCCAAGACGCTGCTCCGGCCTACGATGATGTATTCGCCGACCATCCTGTGAACAAACAAGGCCCCTCCAGATCCACATCAGCTGTAAGAGACTATCTTTCTGCACTGGAATAACTGAACAGATGTTGATATGTAACATAGTACGCTGCCGTTCCACAAGAGGATGACGACGTTGAGCTTGGTGCTCACGATCATGTTCACTCCAACACACCTACCCCTGCGCCCGTTCTCAACGCAAGTGAACCAGAGACATTTGTGCAGACCATTGCAAACGTCTTTCGACCCAAGCAAGGACCTCACGTTCATTGCGAGCAATGCGACAAGATGATGACGGTCAGGCTGCGAAGAGAAGCACAACAGCATTGTTGCACTATGACGAGTGCCGTCTTTATTGCTGCATTTATTTGCATCTTCTTTGGTGTCGTCCTCACATCAGTCATCGTGACGAGGGCGCGCCGCCACAATTAGAGGCTATAATGATACGAGGCCATTCAGATCACGACGATTTCTCATAATGGCTCTGGAGACCTTGGGGTGATGATCGATCAGTTCTGTATCCTGGAGCAGCCCACTGCACCCTGAAAGTACTGTCGCCTGTTTTATGTTTTATGTTTTATGGTTTCTAGAATACCCAATCGCTTTATTGTCACGCAGCCTTCGCTGGCGTTGCGTACAATTCCACATTCCCGAACTTGTCCGTCCTTACTCGTCCTTCTTCCCTTCCCTCTTTAGGCCACACTCACTTCAGGTACCGTCGGCACTTGTCGGCAAGAACACTATCCTTGATAGATCTTTGTTTCGCACTTCGATATGATGCAGGGTTCTCCAACATCGGAATGCTATTTTGCCGGATGTTCAATATATTCAGCCTCGTCTCATTCGCTACAACAATTCCAGATAGGTCCATCACTGTGAATATGCACATATTGGACATATGGTATCTCCAGATAAAGTGTGTCACCCTTGGGTTTACGCTGCCTGTAAAGAGACAGCGTAGATGGTAGAGAGGAAATAACTCGGATTGAAGATTACAGTCAAAGTAGTATAAAGAGGACGGCTCGAAGTAGCAAAATACCAAGACACTTCACAAGTCCTCAGAAACCATTCTCGGCCGACTGGCTCATCTGTAATCACGATGCATTTCACCACCGCCGCCCTCTTGACCCTCATCCCCTCCGTCCTCTCCCATGGCCTCATTACCACCCCTCCATCCCGCCCAACTGGCCCCGCAATAATAGCAAACTGCGGCCCCAAAGTCGAACAAGACATCCGCCTCGACAACACTTCGCATGTCGAAGGTCTCCCCGAGCTTGCTGCCAAAGACGGCGCGAAATACAAGCCCGCTCTTTGCAACCTCTGGCTCTGCAAAGGCCTCCAGTTCGCCGACAACCCAGCTGCGAACATCCAAACCTGGCAGCCAGGTCAGGTCGTTGACATAAAGGTCTGGCTGAGGATT